TGTTGGTATAAAATCTTAGAATATACTTTCTAATTCTAAAGTGCTCTGGATTAGGTGAGATGGATAGACTACTCATGAGATTTTCGACGTATGTTGTGAACTAACTGGTTTAACGGTATGTTGGGAAACTTTAGCTGAAGCCAGATTAAAGTGAATTGTTGTGCTTTAGTTGTAATGGCAGACTTAAAAAGGGATGAGGAAAGTTAGTGCATGATGTTCTTATTTTAGGTCACCTTATACTAATAGAGTTGAGGTATCAGGAACATACCACCCACTTAATGAAATCATGCATGTTAGGAGTCAGTTGGAGTGAAAAATCACAGTGATGTGGAGCAGCTGGAGCTTGATGCGAGCGTTCTGTTGTTAATACAATTTGGCATCTTAGTCAAGCCTGTATAGTTGTGATGTAAGGCACATCGCGAAAGCAATAGTCCGTGAGATATTTGGTTTTGCAGATGCTTGGTTAAAGTGTGGCAAGTTTCATTGTGTGTTTATAGCACTGTTGTTACAAAATTACTATCACCTTTGGTCTGTTGTGAATTGTTGGCTTGTAAAAAGAATGAGACTTTTTTGAAAGATGCTATTTTGAGAAAGGATGCCCTTGGAGAGTGGTCATTGTGGTAGTTGACAATTACTCTCAAATAGTTATTGTACTACAGGTGTGTGTGATTGGAGAGAGTATCACTAACACGGATCATGTTGAGTATATAAGAAGGATTTTGACATGGTATGGTTTTCATTCCTTTTAGATATGAGAATTTGGAGTCTAGGTGACAGACGGTCGTGGCCTTGTCTAAGACAAAGGCAAAAATGATCTCAAAGTAGATGTGGAGGAAGCTACGCGCTTGGAAGATCTTTACAATATGAGTTTGCAGCAAGGATTGATTGTTGTGTTCTACAATTGGTAGAATATGGTTCGTACCTAGATGTCAGTTATCACTTCGTTCGTGGACATGTATCACTAGGTATTGGTGATGTTAGTAAAAGTCATTTACTGAATAGAACCCCACTGCTGTGTCCAATGAAGATATTCTCGATTGTAAGTTCAAATATGGTTTGGACTTGGTTAAAATTCACATGCTTTGTGGATCTGCCTTAGGGGTAGGTGTGGAAAAGACAATTCAGTTTTTGAGAAAGTTGCTAGCTTGTAAAAATTTTCAAATCAAGGTGAAAATTGTTGGGAAGATAACTTGAAATTTTTAGCCTTTTTTTTTTTGAGAAATTGCCCGTAAGATGAAAAAAAACCAAAGTTGCAAATTTTGACATTTATTACAGTAAAGCCACCATGTAGCACCACTATTAACGGTGGTGTCGCCATTAACAATGACCATCACAAAGATGGAAAGTCGGTTAAAACAAAGTCTAAAAAAAATTCGAAGCAAAAAATTTTGGCTTTCATATCGCATACTACATTATTTGTCGCCTCTACAGCAACTGCTACTGTGTGTATAGTGAACATAAAAAATTTTGCTTATAAATAGGCATGTCATTGTGAAGAGCAAAGATGTACCTTTGAATGTCTTAGGTCTATTATGTGCTTGGCGAAAGCACTAAAGAGGAAGAGAGGCAGCAAAGGGTGAGAGCGAGATGTTAAAAATGTAGCCTTGTACCATAAAGGCTTAGTGCCTACGAGGGTACCAAGAAAGATATCGAGTTTAGAAAGTTACAGGGCATAAAGTATAGCTCTCGGGTCTAAGCTATTGAAGGCTTTTTAGAGAGTATTTACGTGATTAAACATTTGTATTCATTTCGTTCTAAATATAGTGAAAAGTTTTTATCGTCTTGATTTGTGGATACCAAACCACATAAATTTTCGATGTTCTTGTTGTTTATTATTTCGCATATTATTTCATCATGCATGTTTCTTCGATTTTTGCTGACAATCAATATTAAGCTTTTGCTGTACCCAATAACAAGTAACAGACCATCCTTATGGATCCTAACAAGAGGGAGGGGGCTTCTAAATACATCATAAAATTTTCTCTATACACCCTCAATTTTTTTTTTTTTAAATATCCACATAACAAATGTCAATTTTAACCTTTAATAAATGACAAAAATATCTTCAATAGCTTAAACAACCTTAAACCACTTTTGTAAATCTCAAAAATGGATGTATTCTAGAAAATATATTTTTGAGAATACAATATAAATTTTGAAATTTCATTTTCGAGAAATATATTATGTTTTTAGAAATAAATTTACGAGGGTAATATTGTATTCTCAAAAATCTATTTATGAAAATACATAAATTTTTGCTTAAATATATATTTAATTATAAACTTATGGTAACGTTTAATTTAAATTTAAATAAAATAAAATACATTTAATTTTAAAATAAATAAATCTTATGTGCTAAGATTTTCAAATATCTCTAATGATTTTTTTGAGGTATGGCTTAATTCTGGCAATAAAGACCTCTAATGGTGGTTGAAAAATTAAAGGTTCTTATTATCGGATTTATCAATCTCTTGATGACATTGTCAGGGTTAATGTTTTATAAGGTGTTCAAGCTCGAACTAACATGCATGCATATGCATGAGTTATTAATATGCCCATTCTAACTTGATCATATGTATGAATGGAAGAAAAATGGCAGTTCTTAAGCATGCATGGGCATAAATTGTTCTTGTCTTAAGGCTAGAAACCAATAACACTTTTTTGCCCATACAAAACCAGAAAATCAGAAAACCAAAAAGTAGTATTCTTGGTTTTCTCGAATCTCAAGAGAAAAAATAAGTTTGTTCCATGCATGCTTGAAAACATCGATTTTAGCTCCATTTGCACACATGATTAAGTAAATAGGTTTATAAGTGCATGACTAAGGTTTCCAATGATTAAAAGTGAAATCGAGCTTTTTAAAAATAGATATTTGAGAAGTCTTAAAGCTTATTGGAAATAGATATTCGAGAATCCTTAAAATTTTTCAAATATTCATTTTTGAGAATTCTCAATGTTTCTCAGATATCCATTTTTGATAAACTTGATTTTTGAAAATAAAGAGAAAAGATAAAAGAAATACTAGGAATGGAAAATAGAAAGTTAGGGATGGGGTGTATTTAGTGGAATTCTATTTACACTCAATTTATTATTTTATACACCTCACTTCTAAATACACCTCAAATTCAAAACTAAAATTTTTATTTTTACTAAATACACCCCATCCTTTACTTTCTATTTTCCATTCCTACCCTTTCTCTCTTATTCTCAATTCTTTTTCTAAAATCGAGCTTCTCGAAAATGAATATTTAAAATGTTTTGAAACTTTTAAAAAATGAATATCTGAAAAACTTTAAGAATTATTGAATATTCATTTCCGAAAGACTTAACGCTATGTGTGGATAAATATTAGTAAAAAAAATAAAAGGAAAGTAAAGTAAAGGAAATGAAGGTTTTTAAAGGAAAGGAAAATATATATGTACCCATTGTTTGGATAACTAAAATTAATAAAGGAAAAGAAAGTAAAGGAATCCTAACAACTATTATTTAGTTAAATAATGGAAAATGAAGGAAATGATCTATTACATTATTTTTTTCGATTATAACCTTTGATAATTTTTTTTTTTACTATAACATTTACATGTTTATGTTAACATATTCAGCGTTTTCAACTTTCCTTTTATTTCTTCATAAAAATAGTCATCAATGAAATTTATGGAATTCATAAAAATAAGAGCAAAAAATTAAACACAATAAATTTATTGGTAAATGATATTTTGTATTCTCAATCTAATTTTAGAGCTCAAAATCATACATTTTTAATTTAGAGAAAATTAATAAGAATATAATAGTCATTTTATATTTTAAAATTTTTATTCTTTTCTTTTTTTTTCCTTTTCCCCCAATTTGGGGCAATTAAAAATAAAGAAAGTTGAGGGAAACTAATGGGAGCTAAGCATACCTTCTTTTCTTTTATTTTTTTTATGTCATATACAAACAAAAGAAATGATTTCCAAGTTCTTTTTGTTTCCTTTCCATTATATTCCTTTCTCTCCCCTTACCTTAATCCAAACATAAGCTAAAAGTTTATTAGATATTCATTTTTGAGAAGATCCAAATTTATTAGATATCTATTTTCGATAAGTCTTGAGTCTTCTCGAAAATTGATATCCGAAAAGATACGAGACTTCTTACATCTCTATATCTGAGAAGCTTTATTTCACTTTTAATAACAAAACCTTAATCATGTGCTTATGAATCCATTTACTTGATTATGTATGTGAATGAAATTGAAATCGATGTTTTTAACATTTATGGGATAAATTTGTTCTTTTCTTTTGAACTTCCAAAAATTCAAGAACACCTTAATCATTTTTATCCCATGCATGCTTGAGAACTTGGTCTTTTCTATTCACACATATGATCAAGTAAGAATAGACACATCGATGACTCATGGATTTGCATGCATGCATGCTGGTTGGACCTTGAATACCCTATATAATATTGTCGCTAACAATGTCATCAATGGATCGACAATTTTGATTGTATCTAACTTTTTGACCACTAGTTTTTATTATAAATTTGTCAATCTGTTGATAATATTTTTTAGTGCCGTAAATATTAGAGATCCAAATTTTTTTTGTTATCAATAGTTTATAATTAAATATATATTTTTTAAAAAATTTATGTATTTTTGGAATCAAATTTTTGAGAATACAAATAACTTTTGAAAATTCATTTCTAAGAAAATAATATAATTATCAAAAATAAGTTTTAAAGATATGTATTTTATTCTCGATAATTCATTTTTAAATTATGTTATTTTCTCAAAAATAAAATTTTGAGAATATAATATAACTTTCAAAATTTCATTTTTAAAAAATACAAGATGATTTTTTGTTATTTAATATATAAAAATATTTTTATCATTTATTAAAGATTAAATTAATATTTGGTATGTGAGTACTTTTGAAAAAAAATTTGTAAGTATATAAAAAAAATTTGATGATGTATTTAGAAAAAAAAAAAAAAAAAAAAGAAAGCTGTCCTTACGATTCTATCCAATGCTACCGAAACTGTCCCTATCCTAACAAACAGACCACGCAGAGAAATAAGATAACCTTTTACTTTTAATAAGGTTTAGTAAAAGTATTTGATAGTATTTAGTTCGTTTGGCTCTATTAACTGTAAGTCTTTCTTTCTGAGTTTTGAGTTTTTTGATTGTGAGTTTTTTACTTTGAATTTTTACTTTACCTACCCGAACGGCAACAAAATCTGACAGAAGGTTATTTGCGTTTATCAAGCTTATGCCGCGATCTCTATTCTCACTCCGGATTTGGAATCTGCCACTGCCAGTGCCATCTATCACTCTCCGTCTCGGAACAATCCGTGGAATGAACAACAACAACAAGAACAATAGCCGCCGCCGTACTGCGGACATCAATATTAAATCTAATCCTCGCTTACTTAAACTCCAACAACTCGTTAACAGCAACGCCGCTGGTAATTATCTACTACTTCACTCTTAAACTCCAACAACTGCCTAAATTCATCTCACATATTCGATATTCCCCTTCGCTTCTTCAAATTTTGGTTTGTTCGAATAACTTGGTTTTTTTTCTTTCACTTTGGTTAAAGGTAAGCCTTTCCCGTTCTTCTTTTCAAGCAATTAAGGGTGTTGCTTATGATTTAAACTAGTTTTACTATATGGGTATTCTGGGAAAAATAAACTGGAAGCGTTTCATTTTGATTTTTTTGCTTGGGGTTTCTGTCTGATCACAACTCATACAGTGACACCATGTTGTATCTTTCCATTTAATTTTTAGCTGGTTGGGAAGAGTCCTGGAAGCAGGGAGTCACCCCTTGGGATTTAGGTCGCCCTACGCCTGTTATTTTACATCTCCATCACACAGGATCCCTCCCCATGGGCAGCGTTCTCGTCCCTGGATGTGGCACTGTATGTTGAATACTCTGCTATATGCCTTATACCTTTAAAATGCAATTTTATTCACTATGCTAATTGGTACCACCTTTGCTTCCTCTCTGCAATTATTCTCATCATATTTCTTCCTTAAAAATATCTGCTACCATCACGTATTACTGATTTAAACAGGAATAAACTGCTCAAACATGACAGGGCTATGATGTTGTGGCAATGGCATGCCCTGGACGCTATGTTGTTGGTCTGGACATATCCGAAGAGGCAATAAAGAAAGCAAAGCAGGTAAGTGTGGCCTTTGCAGTCCTCCCACTTTAACAAGATCCACAGAATGGTAGCTCCAATTTAAGGTATTCGTGCTAGTTTTAGTCTTTCTGAAGGATTGCTTTTTCTAATGTTCTGTTTGATTGTGAATATAGATGTCTTCTTCGTTACCAAATGCGGATTATTTTACCTTCTTAAAGGCAGATTTTTTCTCCTGGCACCCAACAGACTTGTTTGATCTTATTTTTGATTATACGTAAGTTGTCTTTAGAAGCAGGTTGTTATCCCATTAGGAGAATCTATTGATCATCCTAATCTAATGAATTTGCAGGTTTTTTTGTGCTATTGAACCAGATATGAGATCAGCTTGGGCGCAGCAAGTCCAAAATTGTTTAAAACCAGATGGAGAGCTTATTACATTGATGTATCCAGTAAGCATATTTGTTGTTTTATGAATGGTCCTTTATTTCTCTTTCCTTTTCCCCCATTCAGGGACTACTTGTTTTTGTGGTTTTTTTTTTTTTTTTTCATTTCAGTTTTTCTTTACAAATTATAAGTAGCTATGGCTTTGAATCTGCAAAGCATTTCGATTATACTCAGAAATTTGTAGTGATTGAAGTGACAATTTCCTACTCAACTCTGTCATGACACTGAAAGTGAAACTATAATTACGTGATGGCAGATGGATGATCATACTGGCGGACCCCCATATAAAGTATCAATTGAAGAGTAGTTTTCTGCCTCCTTTTTCTGTTTTTATCTAGATTGGTTTCAGAGTATTTTCTAATCCTGTTTCCATAGAATTGCCTGTTAAATTTTAATCATATAGGGAGATATTTATCTGTTGACATAAGAATGATCCATCAAAATCTCTTTGAACTTTGAACCATGCAGCTACAAAGAGGTGTTGCATCCAATGGGATTTAAGGCAATATCCATTGTTGATAATAAATTCGCCATTGAAGTTAGAAAGGTATTTTAACATGCTTTTAGCTAGTAAACTTGTCACTCTGAGCTTGCAAAACCTACCATGCCTTCTTTAGAGCAGTGATTGGACTTTCAAGAATGTGCACTAAATTTCACATAGTCAAAAAAGGTGCAAATCAGTTACATGATTCCTCAGTTTCTGTAAGATGATAAAACCTTTAAGGGTGTTGTGGGGGGAAGGGGGAACTTTGTCTGATAAGAAGATGCTTTATGTCTATTCAGAAATAAAATTGAACCATCCTTATGCACTATGTTACTCATACTCAGACGTGTGTCGAATACGGGTATGTATCCGACACAGGAATGCTCAATTTTTTCTAAGTTTTTTCATATATTTAGAGGTTTGTTTCCCCATACCCATGTCTGTGTGTGTCAGACACAGGTTCTTTAGAGAAAATGAAGAGTCTGATTAACATAGCTTATGCAAAATCCAATGCCATTATAATAAAGTTTACACTTAAGACTACTTCTCACTGCTGTTTTCATGGGCCAGTTGATTATTTTTCTTCTTTATCTGTTTGGATTAAAACAGGTACAAAGAAAACATACTCATGGACCCTTATTTGTCAAAAAGAATTGAGTTTTCTCTTCCTTTTTTTTAAGAGGAAAAAAAAAAAATCTAAAGAGGGATTTATATCTGGCTAAATCTTATCCTTAATTAACTGAAGTTCATACTGACAAGTGATATTTTTGCTTGGACTTGTCTTGACTCTGTTTGGATGTTTAATATCATTTATGTATGACTTGGGAAGGGAAGTGGTTTCTATTAGATTTATCCTCATCCTGTACTGGGAAACAATAGAAAGGAAAACAAAAGGAATGGAAGATGAAGAAGCAATTACTTGTACTTTGTCCACAATTTTTGTGGACATTTCTTAGTGTAGATTTCTAGTATTGGTTTTATTTGATGTCTTCTTCAGCAAAAAGAAGAGATGATTGAACATATTTCAACAGTGAGGGACTCAAAGTGTAATACTTGCGGTCAATGACACACTGTGACCTTGAGTGATATTTCTTCAATTTTTCACTGGCATTTTCTGCAGCTCTGTGTTGGGTTTTGTTTCCCCATGGATGCATTCTATAAATGACATATTTAGGAGCTAGTGATTTAATTGTATTCGTAAGCTGCATTGGTTATCTATAAATCATATGTGTTCTCATAAAGTATAATTGGTTATATATGTTTTAAGGATGTTCTAAAAATAGTATTTGCTTCAACAGGGAAGAGAGAAGCTTGGAAGATGGAAAAGAGCTGTAGGCCACTCCTCGCTGTAAATTGTGATAATGACCGTTGGCTATTGAGGAGCCGTGTGTTGGGGGGGGGGGGGGGGGGGGGGGGGGCGGGGAATGAGTTGGGAGATTAATTTCATTCATACAGCATCTGAATTGGAAGACATACACATGATGCATGATATGTTTCATTTTCTTTCCTTTTTTGTTTAACCTTTAGATAAACGAAAGAATAATAATAAAGAAGTAATTGTTGTTTAAGGTACCCAAGTCACCTGTGGCTGTTAGGCTGTTGCACGAGTAAAATGTGGTTTGATTTTTCATGTAAGATTGGTGTTTTTTCCTAAATTCTGAAACAATAGCAGAGAAAAGGTTAGAAGAATCATGAATGTGATGCTAAAGCGCAAGAGCGTGGCGTGTTTCAAGGGAATGAGTCGAATGTTTAATACTTTGTTAAAAATAAATTATTTATGCATGTATATATCCTTAATCCTTATGCATGAAGAAGATACAATGGTTTTTCTCATCCTACGAGGGAAGGGTTGGGTACGTAGATTGAGTAAACTGCCCTGGGAAAATTGTTGGGAAGTACGGTAGATTAGTAGAGATCAGATGGAATGAGTCTTGAGGGCATAAACTGAAACTTCGTGATTGAGAAGGATTAACAATTGCCTTGAAATTGAGAGAGAGAGAGAGAGAGAGGAGATTTGCATAAGACAACGTCGTCATAGGCACTGGAAGAAAAGATTATCCCGCTGTTACGATGAATATAATTTCAATCAAAATCAAGTAGTTTTAAGGGGTCGAGAGCGCACGTGCTGGTTGAAAAAGACAAAAGGGAAGTCTTATGGAAGGCCGCAAGACAAGGCAAGCTGACAAAAGACGAAAGAAATGCAAGTAAATTAGCAAAGCGGCAAAGAAAGGTTCAACTTTTCAAGTTTCAAGTCCCAAAGTAGATTGATTTGGAGGGTGGCTGAGAGGGTATGGTATGGGGGTATGGGTATTGGATTGCAGCAGTTGAAGAAACATTCCTGTCCAGTCTTTGAGCTCCTCAGAATGTCCCGCCTAACTCCTCGCTCTCGCTTTTAATGCAAACAAATCGCAACGAGCTCTCCTCCTCCACTCCTCTCTTCTCCCCACTTTCCCTCCCCTTCTCTCTGCCCTTAGACTTGACTCTCTCCAATCCAATTCCTTCTCATTTTCATTTCATTTCCCTCTTTCTCTCTTGTTTTCGTTCTTATGATATTAAAAAAAAAAAAAACGAAATTAAACCAAAATGAAAACATAAACGAAATTAATTCTCATTTTCCACAAAACCAAATTATACTACTAACAAACATAAATGGATGAACATATCATCCAAGACGACGACGAGGACAGGGAGGCCCTCGCTGCCCTCAGTTCTGTCCCACCTCCCCAACGCAAGATCCACTCCTATAGCCAGCAGCTCCGCGCCAACTCCGCCCAAAAGCGTTACCATCAACTCCGCAAGCACAGCCTGGATGACATCCCCAAGCCCCCGGACCATTACTGCAATAATGACGACTCTTCCGACGATGACTTCTTCGCCTACTCCTCCTCCTCCTCTTCTAACAACGCTCCCTCTGCTCAAGATTATATCATCACTCATTCCCAGAGGCTCGACCAGAACCTCTCCTTGGAGGGTTGCCCCGAAGATCCCCGCCATTGCCACCCTTTGCCCGAGTTCATTGGCGCTGGTGGTGGTACCGGTATTTTCAAGGTCCCTAAGCGCGCCACCGTACACCCTGGCCGCCCACCTTTCCTGGAGCTCAGGCCCCACCCCCTCAGGGAGACTCAAGTAGGAAAGTTCTTGAGGAACATTGCTTGCACCGACACACAGCTCTGGGCTGGCCAAGAGTGTGGGGTTCGGTTTTGGAGGTTCCAGGACGCTTATGAACCTGGCCTTGGTGCCAAAGTCAGGAGGGGTGATGAGGATGCAGCGCCCTTTCAGGAGTCTGCCAACACCTCCCCAACCATGTGTTTGCTGGTAGATAACGGGAATAGGTTGGTTTGGAGCGGCCATAAGGATGGCAAGATTAGGTCTTGGAAGATGGATCACCCTGCGGATGATACTTCTCCTTTCAAGGAAGGCTTGTCATGGCAGGCGCATCGTGGTCCTGTTCTTTCTATCATCATCAGTTCCTATGGTAACTCCTAAGCTTCTTTTATGTTTTCTTTTTCCAATTTTAATTATTGGTCAATTACGAACTGGATGGTTCTGATCTCAAATGATGTGATGATTGATAATGAAAAAGAAATAAATTAATTAATTAAGCCTTTTAATTTTTTTGATATGCTGCTTTGCTCCAGGTGACTTGTGGTCCGGTGGTGAGGGCGGTTCTATTAAGATTTGGCCATGGGAATCCATTGAAAAATCTCTTTCTCTTAGACCAGAGGAAAAGCACATGGCTGCTTTACTGGTAGAGAGGTCATTCATTGACCTCAGGAGCCAAGTTACTGTTAATGGTAACTGTATCATCTCTTCTTCAGATGTCAAGTGCTTGGTCTCCGACAATGTAAGAGCTAAAGTTTGGTGTGCTCAGCCTCTTTCCTTCTCCCTATGGTACGTTTGACCTCTGACATTGTAGAAAACTTAAAGAACAATTGTTCTTTTTTTTTTCTTATTATTTTTAGAACGAAGGAGTACATTAAATAAATAGGAACGGTAAAGTTCGTTATTAAGAAACAACTTAGGTGAAATAAAAAAATAAAAATTATAAAAGGAAAGAGAAACAAATTTCTACAATCTTGACAATCAGAATAATTAACTAAATCAAAAGAATAAATGAGAAATATTCTCAAAATAAATTAAGAAATCAAGCTATACTAATGTAGGAGAATCAGATTTCTATACTGCCCCTCAAGCTGGGTTATGAATGTTAATCATATCTAGCTTGAATTTCAATCCGTCAAAGATGCTTTTAGGAAGAGCTTTAGTCAGAATATCTGTAATTTAAGAACTTGTACGGACATAGGCCAGTTTGACCAATCCATTTTCTATCTTTTCCTTTATGAAATGTCGATCCAACTCTATGCGCTTGATCTTATCATGATAAACAGAATTTTTGGCAATACTTATAGTAGCCTTATTGTCACAAAACAGTATCATAGATGTCACAGTCTTAACTTTTAATTCTCCAAGTAACCTCATCAGCCAAATTCCTTCACAAATACCATGGGACATTGTTCTAAACTCAACCTTAGCATTGCTTTTAGTCGCAACAAATTGTTTTTTCCTTCTCTAAGTGATCAAATTGCCCCAAACATAAGTACAATATCCAGTAGTAGACCTTCTATTTGTGACTGATCTAACCCAGTCAGCATCTGTGTACATCTCAACTGCCTTGTCCATTGACTTTTTAAAGTATAGACTTTCACTGGGACCCTTCTTTAAGTACTGTAGGATGCAATGAACAGCTTTGTGGTACTCATTGGTTAGATTATTTATGTATCTACTCACCATCCCTACTACAAACCTAATATTAGGTCTTGTGTAGGAGAGGTAAATAAGCTTCCCTACTAGTCTTTGGTATCACCTTTGTCTATGAAAGAGCTTCCATATTCACTTCCAATTTTATTAGTTGAGTCCATGGGTTTATTAGCAAGTTTGCATCTAATCATGCCAGTTTCTTTGAGTAGATCAAGTACATACTTACATTGAGACACTGATATTCTATTCTTAGATTAAGCCACTTCTATCCTAAGGAAATATTTAAGGAACCCCAAGTCTTTTATTTCAAACTCCTTTACAAGTAGTTTATTCAAATCATCTGTTCTTTCCTTGTGGTCTCTGGTGATTATGATATCATCTACATAAATAAAAATGACTTTTTTTCCTTTATTAGTGAACTTAACAAACATATTATGATCAGATTGACATTGAAGGAATCCATGCCTCTTCACTGCCTAGGTCAACTGTTCAAACCAAGCCTGAAGAGACTGTTTAAGTCCATACAAAGACTTTCGGGTTTGCACACTTTGCCCATGTTTCTTGCCTTTCGAAACCGAGGGAATTTCCATGTAGACATTCTCCTCCAAGTCATCATTTAAGAATGCATTCTTTATGTTAAGTTGGTGGAGAGGCCAATCCAAGTTGGTTGCCAGTGACAATAGAACTCTAATTGAATTGAGTTTGGCTACTGGAGTAAATGTTTGCTCATAGTCTATCCCATAGGATTGAGTGAACCCCTTTGCAACAAGTTTAGCTTTGAACCTGTTTATACTTCCATCTACATTGTGCTTTATTGTGAAGATCCACTTACATCTAATCGGGTTTTTCCCTTTAGGCAAATCTAAAATTTCCCATATCCCATTCTTCTCTAGTGCATTGATTTCTTCAAGAATTATTGCCTTCCAATCTGGTTCATTGAAGGCTTCCTGAATATTTTTTTGGAATTTGCGCATTGTTAAGGTTAGTAGTAAAGGCTTGAAATTTGGATTTAACCTTTCATATGAGATGTACTTGTAGATAGGGTAGTAGGTGCATGATCTCACACCTTTTCTTAATGCAATAGGAATGTCAAGGTCACCAGCTAGCTTACAAGTTTTTGTTTCAGATTCAATGGTGACATTAATTGTATCAGTTTCAGGTTCTTGGAGACTCAGATCCGGTTGATCTTTAGTGCTTAGCTGTGTATAGTTGTCCACTTCTTCTTGTGTTTTTTGCTTCCTTAAGTAGACTATAAGTTCTTTTGTTTTTTTTTCTTGCATAAGCTTAGGGTTTGAAAAGTCAAGAATTGTCTGAATAGATTGGGTTTTGGAATCTGTATGGCTGATAGGTTGGTAGGTTGAGAATCTGGTTCTAAAGGGACTCGTTAAGAATCTAGTTTTGAAGGGACTGGTTGGAAAATTGAAGGGGTTAGTTGGGAAATTGACAAGTCAACTACTAAGAATTGATATTCCTCAACAGTATTCTCCCCCTGAATATCATTCTTGCTATAGTATGAAAGCTTCCTAAAGAAGGTGACATCCATAGAGTTATAGAATTTTTTTGTGATGGGTGAGTAACACCTATAGCCCTTTGGTTTGCGAAATAACCAAGGAAGATGCATTTTAAGGCTTTGGGATCAAGCTTGCTACAATTTTGTTGGCTAATGTGAGCAAAGGCAATGTAGCTAAAGAGTTTGATGGGAATGGAAGAGATCAATCGAGTTTGTGGGTAGGAAGCAAGTAGAGTTTGACAAGGTGTTTTAAAGACAAAAGCTCGAGAAGGCATTCAGTTAACCAAATAAGCAAGTAGAGTTTGACAAGGTGTTTTAAAAACAAGAGCTCGAGAAGGCATTCAATTAACCAAATAAGTTGCAATAAGGGTGGCTTCTCCCCAAAAATGTTTAGGCACATTGGAAGGTAACAAGAGGGATCTAGTCACTCTTATCAAATGTCTGTTGGCAACTCCATTTTGCTGTGGAGTGTCAACGCAAGAGCTTTGATGGATAATACCATGATTGGTAAGGTAAGGGCCAAGAATAGAGTTGAAATATTCCCTCCCATTGTTAGTTTTATGATTGGATTTTGGCTTGGAATTGCATTTGTACCATACTATTGAAGTTTTGAAAGATTTGGCCAACGTTGGATTTTTCTTTCATAAGGAATACCCAAGTGAGTCAAGTATGATGACCAATAAATGTAACAAATCACCAAAAACTTATGATATTGTTAACTCTTGATGGTCCCTAAGCGTCACTGTGAATCATTGAGAAAGGTTGAGATGATTTATAGGAAAGGCTAAGGTAGGTATTTTGAGTGTACTTGGAAAGTTGACAAATTTCACACTGAAAATCTTTAGAATTTTGTTGAATAATGAAGGAAATAGCCTTTTAAGGTACAAAATATTTGGATGTCTTAGTCTATAATGCCATAACATGATAAGATCATCCTTACAAGTACCATAGGCTAAGGCTGTACAAGAGCTTTGTGGTCTCTCAATTCCATTATCTTGAAGAAGGTAGAGCCTTGCACATATCCTAGCACTGCCGATAATCCTTCTTGAGCTCAGTTCCTGAAATTCACACAAGTTGGGAAAAAATTTAGTGATACAACATTTATCCTTCGTAAGCTTACTAATGGAAAGTAGGTTACAACTTAACTTAGGGACATAGAGGACAGAGTCGAGTGTTATATCTTTTGAAACTATAATAGAACTTGTTCCTACCACCTTTGAGAGAAAGCCATCAGCAATTTTTACAGCAGAACTATCATAGCAAGATCTATATGTTTTGAATAAGGATGCATCTCCAATCATGTGATCTGATGCTCCTAAATCAACAATCCAAGATTGTGTTTTTCCTCGTTGAACACTTAAGGCATTTAGGAAATTACCTTTTTGTGCTAAGAAACTAGTTCCAAAGGTTGCAAACTTGTTTTGAAGGGTTTGTTAGAATATCACCTTTTTGTGACTTTCTCATGCCGTACCAAAAGAAGAGTTCTCACTCCTGCTAGCCATAATGGTAACTCATATGGCTACAGTCTAAAGATTTAGACTAACTTGCTCTGATACCATGTAGAAAGTTTAAAGAACAATTGTCCTTTTTTTTATTATTTTTAGAATGAAGGAGTACATCAAATAAATAGGAACAATGAAGTTCTTTATTAAGAAACAACATACATTAAACAGAAAAACAGAAATAATAAAAGGAAGGAGAAACAAATCCCTAAAAACTTGACAATTAGAATTATTAACTAAATCAGAAGAATAAATGAAAAATATTCTCAAACTAAATTAGGAAATCAAGTTGTACTAATATAGAAGAATTAGATCTGCACTAATATTGGAGAATCAGATTTTTATAGACATTGTACTCTCTGCCTCTTAGGTTAACATGTTGAGATACTGCTCAGTCTGCACTAGCAAAGTTTTATTATTATTAGTTCAAGGCTGCTAGTCCCATCTATGCTTTTCAATTTAAACCTGAAACCTTGGTTAAAAATTCATGCTTTTGCTTAAAGCTTGAAGGATGTAATTAACTGGCAAGAGTAAATATTTTATAGCCCATTTCCAGTCTTTATTTTATTCTTTTGTAGGTCATCACATCTAAACTATGTACTACTCTAAGAGTTATTTAATCTGCAGGGATGCTCGCACAAAGGAGCTTCTCAAAGTGTTCAATATTGATGGTCAAACTGAAAATCGAGTTGACATGCCATCAGCGCAAGATCAACCAGCCGTAGAAGATGAGGTGAAGGTGAAATTTGTTTCCACTTCAAAAAAGGAGAAATCTGGGGGCTTTTTGCAACGGTCACGCAATGCTATAATGGGAGCGGCAGATGCTGTCCGTCGAGTTGCAACAAGAGGAACAGGGGCATTTGCAGAAGACAATAAGAGGACGGAAGCATTAGTACTAACAGCAGATGGGATGATATGGAGTGGATGTACGAATGGTGTTCTGGTGCAGTGGGATGGAAATGGAAATCGTTTGCAAGATGTTCATCACCATTCTTGTGCAGTCCAATGCTTTTGTGCTTTTGGAACGCGAATATATGTAGGCTATGTTAGCGGGATGGTCCAGGTGATGGATCTTGAAGGGAACCTGATTGCAGGATGGTTTGCTCACAATGGTCCTGTGATAAAATTGGCAACTGGCAATGGTTATATCTTCAGCTTGGCCACTCACGGGGGTATACGTGGATGGAACATCTTATCTCCAGGGCCAATTGATAGCTTATTACGATCAGACTTAGAAGAAAAAGAAGCAATTTACTCGAGACAAGACAATGTCAGGATTCTCGTTGGATCATGGAATGTTGGTCAAGGAAGAGCCTCTCAGGAGTCACTTATGTCATGGTTGGGTTCTGTTGCATCAGATGTTGGCATTGTTGTTGTTGGGTTACAAGAAGTGGAAATGGGAGCAGGTTTCCTTGCAATGTCTGCTGCTAAAGAAACAGTAAGATTTATGTACCAATAGTGTCATCTATAATGTTCTACACCATTTGATTCTGGTTGGTTACCATTGGATATACTATTTGATTTATTTGAAAATGATAATTCACAGCAGGTTTCCTCATAATCTGATATATTTTCTCCTTTGACAGACACAAAAGGAAATGTCTATTATGTTTCCATAAATAACTCCATCTACAACATTTTTCTTTATTATTCTAATTAATATATATGTATTTACAAAAACCATTGATTTTATTTTTTATATTTCTATATAATTATCCATGTTATATTTATTTATCCATCCACACCCAGATCATATTTCTTGAAGTCTATAATCAGATTCAGTCATTATTGTTGCTTAGTTTGAGCATTTTTGGCAGGATGAAATTACAACATATGTCCTATTTCTAATGGTTCTTGATTTATTAGTTTAAAAAGGTTCATTAACCTTTCATTTTGTATCCATTATTTCACTCTCGTTCATTTAACATTGGCAAAATAGTCCTAATTAAATCAGGTTAAGAAAAAAAGGTGCAAAGCTTTATTTGAATTATGATTTGTTTCTAGGAGTGCTTGATTTGATATTCAAACTCTTAATTTGCGAATCTGTTTACTCCCTGTTTGGTATTTTGGTTATGTAAAAAAAAAAGCAGACACACAAACTCTCTGTGTGCGTATGTGCATGTAGTATGTACTCTCTTCATTAACCTCTTGTTTCTAAGTGTAGGTAGGACTTGAAGGGAGTTCTATTGGTCACTGGTGGCTTGACACAATAGGAAAGGCCTTAGATGAAAACACAACATTTGAACGTATGGGTTCTAGGCAGCTGGCAGGATTGCTCGTTTCTCTTTGGTAAGTAGTTGGCAATTGGTCATTCTTTCCTTTTCCTTGGTAACTGGTAAGGCATGTTTGGTCTTCTTCTCAATGGTTGAACTTGTAATGAAGGTTTTTTTTTTTTTTTTTTAAACTTTTGCGTCAAATTTTAATTATGCTTTATCTCCTATGGTATTACTTATTATTTGTCGCTCAGGGTAAGGAAGAATCTTAGAATGCATGTTGGGGACATTGATGCGGCAGCAGTTCCTTGCGGCTTCGGTCGAGCTATTGGCAATAAGGTTGTCTACCTTGATAACTTTCATTATCATGTTTAGAACTTAGGCGTTAATGCCTCCGCACTTGCAAAGTAGAAGAGGAAAGCAGCCAGTTAAAGTTTGTCTCACCTCATCCTCTTTTGTCTTGTTTATGTTTATGACTTGGGAAGGGTAATTTGTGTGAACTTTTCTAATTTCAACCATTGCAAGTATCTTGGTGTTCTCTTCTCCCTGCAACTAATGCATGATAACCATGGAGAACTAATCTGCCATGCCCTTATCATATGTTTGATAAATTGGCATGTTGGGCAATGAAATATAACTTTGGAGGGAGGCAGATGAGGTATATTTATCTGGTAGCCAATAGCATTGAGGTTTCTAGGAATTGTTTGATAATTAAATTCTAATTAACCGATTATATTAATGCTGGAACCCTTTTTGTTTTGGCTAGTTTTTATACCTACTGTTGTTAGAACTGGTGGGTAGAATGAACTGCAAGCTTCTTTACATCTTATTTTCCTTATTCTTCTCTCAAAATATGTGATGCATACAATAACAAACAGACTGAACTGGTTCAACCTTTTCTTTTATTTTTTTTATTTTTTTTATTTCCTTCCTCTTTCTAGAGTACTAAATGATGTTTATGAGGTTTTAACCAGAGTTGACGAGTTATAATCCAGATAATTCAAACAGGATGCTTGATGGTGATTAAAAGAACTAAGAAAACGTGTTCAAGGAAAAGGAAAAGAAAAAAAACCTTCTGAATGTCTTTCTTGTTTTCTTTGATCTTTTGCCTGTGTTAAATTTGAACCTAGGTAATGTATAACTTTGCCCTAAATAGACTGAGTTGCCTAGCTTTTCATAAATTGGATTCTTTTTCCACTTTTGGCTCAATCACTTGTCCCCTTGACAAAATAAGATAGTTTCATGATTTTCTTCTCTCATGATCCAGATACTTATCTTTCCTTTGATTGTGAAAGTATTTTGCATTAGTTTAGTTGTTTTTCACCTTAATAAAATTAAGAGCAGATTAAAATTAATCTCAATACCTGTTGTTTGATGGTTTTCTTCATTTTATAAGATTGATTTTGGTTTGTCTAATGATGCAGGGAGGTGTAGGTTTGAGAATCAGAGTGTTTGACCGGTTAATCTGCTTTGTTAATTGTCACCTAGCTGCACATCTGGAAGCAGTAAATCGTCGAAATGCAGACTTTGATCATATCTATCGAAATATGGTCTTCACCCGGTCATCAAATCTACCCAATAATGCAGCTGGTATGGTGCGATTACTGTTTTTGTGTTGCTCTCTTGCGTTCTCCACATATTTATTTAGGCTGCTTTATTCTTCTGGCTTGCCACTGGTGCTCTGTGTTGCAGCTGGTGCCTCTGCTGCTGTTCAAACGCTTCGGGTGACAAATGTATGTCCTTGCTTTGGTCAATTTTATTGATAACTATATTATCTTTACCTTCTATACATAATTACTGCTATCTTATTTCTTGATCCATGTTTCAAGATCACTGCATTTCCACAGACTGCAGGTGTCAACACTGATGAAACAAAGCTTGATTTAGCTGAAGCAGATATGGTAGTCTTTTTTGGCGATTTTAACTACCGCCTTTTTGGTATATCTTATGATGAAGCAAGGGACTTTGTTTCTCAAAGATGCTTCGATTGGCTTAGAGAAAAGGATCAGCTCAGGGCAGAGATGAAAGCAGGCAAGGTTTTCCAAGGAATGCGTGAGGCGTTAATCAGATTCCCTCCAACTTACAAGTTTGAAAGGCACCGACCAGGTTTGGCAGGTAAAAAAACTTGGTGAAAATGGTACGAGTTTCTTAATTAAACATTAAGCTAGTTGGCTGCTAGTATTAAGAATCAGTTTAGATTCTAAAGTGGAAGTGTACTGACTGAATGTCTTTGAATTAGTTCTCGTTCATGGTTTGAGTTTTACCATTTTAGGTTACGATTCTGGCGAAAAGAAGCGCATTCCTGCATGGTGTGACCGAGTGATATATCGTGACAACAGGTCAGGACCAGTGTCTGAGTGCAGTTTGGAGTGCCCTATAGTCTCGTGCATTTTACTGTAAGTTTCTTGACAAATTGTTTTCTGTTTCTCTTTGCCATTTTTTATTCCGAAATCTGATCTGCAATGTCTAATTAGGTATGAGGCTTGCATGGACGTGACAGAGAGCGATCACAAACCTGTGCGTTGCAAATTCCATAGTACTATTGCCCATGTTGATAGATCAGTAAGGAGACAAGCATTTGGGGAAGTCATACAATCAAATAAGAAAGTTAGGTTTCTTCTCGATGAATTACGTTATGTTCCAGAAACATTTGTTAACACCAACAATATAGTCCTTCAAAACCAGGACACATTAATCCTACGAGTCACCAACAAATCTGACAAGGATAAAGCTATATTTAAAATCATATGTGAGGGTCAGTCCACTATGAAGGATGATGAGGAGGTAGCCGATTACCATCCAAGAGGCTCCTTTGGCTTCCCGAGGTGGCTTGAGGTATTGCACCTTTCTTTAAGTTGGACACAGATGCATGTTCTTTCATCTTGGTTTTCATGCCTGATTGGTAGAAAAAATTACAAGAAAGAAGAAAGCCAAAAGTAAACATGAATTTTTCTTTCACTTTTTGTTTTCGCCAAGGAGAAAAATAATTGGAGTCCACTAATGTCTGTTTTCCTTCAAGAAAGTCTTTCCCTCACGCTTCAAATCCCATCCTACATTTTCCAAAAGGCTCAAAACTGGACCAGTTAACAACAAAGTTCTCTTGTGAGCCAAACATTTATGGACATATTCTTTCTTTTTTTTTTTTTCCCTTACTTTTCAACCTGATTGCATGGGTCGAAAGCTTGCAATCCTGATTTCCAAAATAGACTTCAACCGTTCTTCCTCTGCAAGGCGTCCTTTAAAACTTCATACCCTGCCTTTCCATTTAAGTCATTGCAATAGTTGTTTTTAAGAGTAATTTGCAGTTTTCCCCGTGACAATGACAGATTTATGCTAAATATTTCAAGAATATATTGCTGTATCACGTATATAACTTTGATTTGTTTGTGAAATATATGATGCATACAACAGTTGTAAGAAGGTGGACTTTGCTGGTCATTGCACGGTATCTTATGTACTTTCAGTGAAAAAAAAAGCTTATGTAGTTTTGCTGTGTTTGACTTAGGTTACACCAGCTGCTGGTATAATCAATGCTGATCAATCTGTGGAGGTCTCAGTCCATCATGAGGAATTCCATACCCTAGAAGATCTTGTTGATGGCATCCCACAGAACTGGTGGTGTGAAGACACTCGGGATAAGGAAGTGATATTGAGAGTGATTGTACAAGGCAGTTGTTCAATGGAAACAAGATGTCATCAGATCCATGTGCGTCACTGCTTCTCAGCAAAGACAGTCCGCATCGACTCGAAGTCCAACAACTACAGGAAAGGCCAAGGAGGTAGTCTTCATCGCTCTGAACTTCGGCAGCTCAGCAGTTCCTCTGATACGACTGATGATCCCAGGAATTCGCATAACTGTTGAAGCTAGAAGTGAGGTCTGATAGGATATAGGGCAGATACAGATGCAACAACCGGAGGGAGCGCGGAGGCAATGAGGTCCGTTGCCTCAGGAATTCATTCCCACAACCACAGTCCGTTTGTTGATGTAAATACTAAAGAAGGCATGGCCCCTATTTGGCGTGTTGAGACTGGTTTCATTTGCTAATTCGTTGTCATTTCTTATATTAAGCATAATGCCATCCATATTCATTTGACTCCAACTATTCTTGCTTGAAAAACGCTGTGATACTAATATTCCTGGACAAATTATTTACTAGAAACTTCAACAAGCACAAGTAATAAGCTTGTTGGTTGTCTCATTTAGTAGTAGCAATATTTTTGGAAAGCCTATAAATTGCCAGTGCCAGCCATTCTTATAGGCTGACTTTTTTTATTCATTTTTTCTCTGTTTTACAACAAGAATTAATACTATTAGAAAAATACCCTCCATTGTCGCGAATCAAATTTTTTTATTTTATCATTTTTGTTTATCATATTTAAAAAATATTTAATTAAAAAATAAAAAAGGTAAAAAGTAAAAAAATCAATTTGGAATGAAATGTGAATGTCTTAATTAAAAATTATTTTCTCATAAAATTAATCTAATAAAAAATAAATATAAAAAGCAAAAAAAAAGAAAAAAAAAGGGTAAATGAGAAAAAAGAAAAAAAATGAGAAAAAAAAAGCTTATAAAGGATATTATATTGACATTTCATGTTGAGTTTAAAATATTAATTTTTTTAATTAAGATAAAAATATTTTATTAATATAATAAATATACATGTATAAAACTAAATAAATAGTAAACTATATACTTTTATATATAACTTGAAATGGGCCAAAACAAAACAATCTAAATACGTTTTTTATTCGATATTTTTTCTTTTAAAAGAAACTTAATTCCTCTCAATTCAATTTTTATTTTAAAAATCACTTTTCATCAAATTGAAATGCATCAAAACTCGTTGAACACAGATTATTTTAGTATCTTTATCCATTGGTACCTTTCGTTGCTAAAATTTTTTAATTAAAAAATTAAAAAAAAAACAAATGAAAAAAAACCCAAATGAGGTGTCATGTAGACACATTCATTTTTTTATTTTTTATAAAATGATTTCAATTAAAAAGATTAAAAAAAAAATTAAAATAAAAAAAAAATTGAATATTCCAATTGAGTTGAGATCCATTGGACACATTGTTTTACCATTCTTATCCATCAACCCCGTTGCTGTAAATTTTATCTAATTAAGAAAAACTAAGAAAAAAAAAAGGAAATAGAGGTGCCACGTGAACATCGGCATTGATTTTTTTTCACAAAATTTATTTGAATTTAAAAATGATTTTAAAACAAAAAAGTAAAAAAAAAAAAAACTAAAGACCTTAAATAAATGTTAAGTCAAAATTAATTAAATTTATATAATAAATGGATGAATGGATTTCATCTTATTTATGTATAAATATAATATTTTTATTAAATTAAGATATTAAATAAAAATTTTATTAATATAATACATATATAAATATAAATATATAAATAAATAATTTAATATATAATTTAATAGATGTAGTTAATGCAAGATGGAACACCAACCTTTGGTTGGACTTTGATTTTTAGGGAAAAATCCTTGAATTGATCACAAATTAAAAAATGCATATGTTAGACTTAGATGAATTGAAACTCATCAGATATATGTTATTTTGTTATTCATACCTCTATCAACATTTTAAAAAAATTATTTATCAATTATTTTTGTTGTAAATTATCTTATTAAAAAGTTTTTTAAAAACTCAGAAAGATAAAAAAAAAAAAAGGCAAAATATGATGTAATGTATACACATACGTTGACTATTTTTTAAAACATTTTTTTAATAAAAAAATTAAAAAAGTAAAGGAAAAAAAGGATCAATAAAGAAAAAAAAGATGAAAAAGAAAAAAAAAAGAAGAAAGAAAGTCAAGTTAACGCAAAATGTATAAATCCAAAAACTTTAGGACTCGCCACTAATAATTTTTATTTAAATGAGATTGGTTACGTAACTAAATTTGTCTCCTTTTAAATAAAGATTCTAAACTTGATTCATGTTCCTCAAAAAGTAGATTCTAGTTTATTAGATCAAAATTGGGTTTAAAAGTATGGTTACATGCAGGAAAATAATAACAACCCTACAACTCCTATCCAAAGAATGACACCAATTGATTTCGTATTATCCAAAAGCTTAAAAAATCTTACCAAGTAATTAATTATCGAAAATTATTTTTAAATTATTTCACTATGTTGGTAATAATTTTAAAATATTTTATTATCTCAAAAGTATCCAAAGAGATTATTTGTCATGTTTGAATAGACTCCGTCGTTAGATTCATTAATGTTTTCAAAAACTTCATTCATAACAAAGGAAATTTTTACAAGAACTTTGATGTTGAAAATCTTTTCTAAATTCTCCTATATGTTGGTAAAATTTAAAAAAAAATTTTCACCTAATAATTTACATAGAAGTTGCTATTTGTAGCGCTTTAATAATTATATCATTGGGAGATTCAAAACTAATTTTTATATAAATGCGCAAATAAATAACTATCATTATTTAATTATTCATTTATCAAAATCTTTCAGTCTATTGATAATTTTTTTTACATTCAAAAATATTTTTAATATATTGGTAGGATTTATAAAAATGATTTTTTTCACAATTTTTTAAACCAAATAAAATTTTTCAATATGTTGATAAAATCCTATCTAAGATTTTTAAAATTATAAAACCTTCTAATATGTTGTATGGTTTTATTTTTTCAAATACAATTTATTTTCCCAAAAAATCATTTTTTAAATTTAAAAACTCTCCAATATGTTGGTAAGGTTTTCTTTTTAATTTTAAAAATTATTTTGAAAATTACAAAACTTTCAATATGTTGATAATGTTTTATTTTTATTTTCTAAAATCTATTTTTAAATTGCAAAATCTTTCAATATGTTCGTAAGGTTTTATTTTTCTTTAAAATTTTCTTTTAATATTCAAATAAATAAAAGATAAAAAAAGATAAAAAAAACTAAAGGAATTTCGACTCAACTTGAAATTGGTTTTGTGGCTTTAAGGCTTGACAGCTTGACTCGACTTAATGACTTAATAGCAAATCAATGTAATAGATCATGGGTTAATTGTGATTGGATTGAGTCAATATGCGAGTTGGTACGTAAGTTCCCTTTTTCTAAATAGCATTGTTTTAGCCAATATAAAAGGTTGAGATTTTCCATTTCTTTCATTTTTCATTTTTTCTTCTCTCTCTTCCCACAAGAATTATTTCCCTTTTTTCTATCTTCAAGATCTTTGGTCATTCAAAAACCAACAATTCCCATATTTCTATCAAATCCCTAAATTCTATGCCTGAGAAAACCAAACAGCCATTAAAATGTTCAAAGTTCATCGAAAAAGTGGTTAGAATCTTCAAAGTCATCGAAAAAGGTCATTGAAAATTGCAAAATTTTTAAAAAATTTCTAGAAAAAAGAAAACTATTCCAAATCCCTTTTGAACTCCTAAATCTTATAATCTAACTTGCTTTCCTAGAATTAACATGAACAACACTCCTAATTTAAAATCAAACTTAAAGGAAAAAACCTACCTAGAATCGGATGCTCTTACTATTAGAATTCCTCACTGTTTTTCCTTACTTTTTTCATTATCATCCTCTTTTATAATCACTCTTTGAAATTCCTCTCTATGATTTTTGTGATTGTTGTTGATGATCTCGTGTTGAAAATTCAACACTTTCTCGTTTGTTCGATTGAGTTGCTAGTGATGGGTGTTGATTGTCTATTATGTGATGGTTTTTAGAACTTGTTGCTAAATTGTTGGCCAATTCTTGCATGACCTATAAACCTAGATTAAAACCTCAAGAAACTAAACTTGAATCCAAAAAGTCATTACGATCAATGCCCTTCTTTATACATCTATATTTATCCCCACTTTTGTTAGAATTGTTTAGATTTTATTTTTTCTTGCTTTTTTACTACTTAGTGCCTGAATGTGCTTTTGCTTCTTTGTTAATTGTGTTCACTAAAAACTGGGTTTCTTTATATTATTGGCCATAGGTTGCTTCATTTCTATATCTCTTCTTGATTGCTTATTCTCAATGAATTATGTTTGTAAAACTCAATATGAAACTTTGAAGTCTGTCCTTTTTTCTTTCCTTTGTGGCTGTTGTGTTGTTCAATTTAAATAGGCAATGATGTCCTATCAACAGATTAAAATAAAGTTACTATTCAAAAAAATTTTGGTGTTATCTTATTGAATTTTTATCTCCAAGAAACCTAATCTAACAAAAATATCTCTAGAAACAATTCAATTTAGATTTTTTTCCCTCAATTTTTTGATTTTTCAAAAATAATAAAAATGAACTAAAAGATATAAAAAAAAAAATCCTTAATTCAAGTTTTAAAAGGTTAAAAACATATTTGGCCCCTAAACTTTATATTTTTTTTGTCAAATTGATACCTATAGAATTTTATAACCATATTGGTACCTAAACTTTCAAATCTGTTATCACATTAGCACTTCGGACTAATACTGATAGATAACTTTGTTGACGTAGTATGAGCCTTCAATAAAATGTTGACATGTGTCAAAAAATTCAAGTTAGTAGCAAATCATCAATGACACATCATCATTAAAAGAAAAATTTAGAAAAAATTCACAAAAAAATTCTAACAAATTTTTAAAACTTATAAAAAATATAAAAAAGCTTAAAAAATTTTTAAAAATTATAAACAATTCTAAAAAAAGTATGAAATTTTTTTTAAATGTAACAATTTTAAAAAAAATTCTAAACTAATTTCAAATTTTTCTAAAATTTAAAAAGTTGTAAAATTTGTAGAATATTTTAAAAAATTCAAAAATAATTAAGGAAACATGAAAAATTAAAAAAATTCCAAAATTAAAAAAAAATCCAAAAATTTTAGAAGAATAAAAAAACAAAAATTTATGATTTTAATAAAATTTAAAAATTTATTAAAATTCGAAAAAATTAACAAAACTTAAAAAAACTAAATTCAAAATTCAAAAAAAAATAACAAGTAAAATAATTTTAAAATATTTAAAAAACTAAATTAAATTTAAAAGTTTTAGAAAAAATTTTGAAATTTTTTCCTATTTTTTAGTCTTACAATTTCAAATTGTTATAAACTTTTTGAATTTTTAATTATTTTTAAGGTTTTTTGGATTGTTATTAAAATTTTAAGTTTATTTATTTATTTTTTAGATTTTCTAATTCTAAAGAATGTTTCAAAATTTTGAAATTATTTAATTTTTCAAAAATTTTAAAAAGATTTTAGGTCTTTTGTTATTTTCAATTTTTTTAAGGTTTTGTAAGCTTTTTAAACTTTAAGAAACTTTAATTGTTGAATTTTTAAAAAACTTT